AAAAACATGGAAAGCTCAATTTAGATGGCATTGTTTGTCTCTCGGCCAGCATCACCAGTGTCACTTTTTACGCGCACAAAAATTATGACCTATGTAACATCGTCAACTTAGCGTCAACGCAATCAGCGGACAGCTTAATATCTGATGACGTAATCTCTATAATATACCTGACAGATGCAATTTGCGATATTGACTAATCAGTCAACCGCCGTGACAACTTAATGTCGTTTCCCTCCTTAATTATTATTGTCATGCATTTGTCATCTAATTCATACTACAAGTGATAATGAAGACTTTGTATATCACAAGCAGATATGTTAAATATACTTAATATATTTCAAGTAAAATATTAACATATAATGAAATGTACTTCTGAAACTGAACGTTTGCGATTAAAATTAATTTTTAGATTAATTTAAGAAAATTAATTATTAGATAAAACAGTTTTCAAAAATGAAGATTTCATTCTATATAATTGTTTTAATTTTTTTTTTATCTGGCCGACTTGTAATACATCATGAAAACCTTTTACATTTGTAATGTCAACCGGTAATTGCATCATGAGAAAGGATTCAGCTGTACTGTCGATACCAAATGATTGTTCACAAGTATATCATGTCTATACCGTGCATGTAATTTAATAATGTAACTTCGAAATAAATGCAGAAATGTATAAAATATTATTATCGAATTTAATGTCTACGTAATATATTCGGCATCACCGTAATTATTAAATAATCTGTTATTACGCAACTACCTTATATAAATCACAAAGAATATTTATCTTAAAAAATGCTTTATATTTTGCACCTTTCTTTCTTAGTAATTAATCAACAACATATTGCTTCGAAAATTATGGTAATACGCGTATTATTCCAATATAAATGATTAATAATTATTAAGCAATTTAAATCCGTTCTTGTCTTAAAATCGAAAAAAATTTTAAAAGAATTTGTGTATTGAAATAAGTTATTATATATTCAAAAGTTATAAGAAAATTGAAATTATTTCAGTGTGTCCATGTAATTATAAAGCCAAAAATGGTCTCATAATTGAAATAGATAAATAGATGTAAACATAGTATATATCAACGAAAAATATTATCCGTCCCTTGTTCAAGAATCAAATTACATTAGTATACAGTGTGTAATAAAAAGCTACATTATATTCGCGACAGATCGTATGCCAACCGGTGAATTTTATCGCAATCGATGCGCTTTTCCTCATCGTCATAAGGTTATTGTTCCCGTCCACGAAATACAGTATTGCCGTCGAAGGAAGAGGATGGACTGCGATTACATAACGCAGTCATGTCATACGTCGCGTTTGTGGGCGAAGGTGCGAGAACGCCGTGAGCATCGGCAAAACGATATTATTTCGCAAAAGCACGCCGCGCAAAATCATGACACGCTTTTGAACACATGCCCTGCACAATGACGCGCATCTTTCTAATTAATTATGCTTCAACAAAACATGCATAATTCGAGTAACAGTTAATTTGTCGAATACTATGCATGTTTTGTTGAAGCATAATTAATTAGTTTATTCAAACTGTTTTCGACTTTTTCACGTACAATTCTAACTTTCGATAATAAATTTCCGATGCAAACGACTATAACCATCTATATTTAATCTTAAATTATTTTTGTGCAAAAAATGGCGTGTAATTTCGGCAATTTCGCATACGTCGTAGGTGTTAAATTTAAATTAAAAATTGTTATTAAGCAGAATTCTTGTTATAAACTATAAAGAACTCTTCGTCTCTTCAAAATGAAGCGAGAACTCTAATCAGAACTATGAAATTTTATTGTTAGGATGCTAACTTCACACACGCCAAAAAATGGGAAAAATTAATTATTGAATGAAATCAGAAGAAACGTAAAAAGGCTTACGTATAGCTTAATTAATATCTAAAAAAAACCGATTTCTTTCAAAGTTTAATAGAATCTAATATAATTTTCTTTAGATAATCAGGTTGAATAAATGATACAATAGAAAAAAACCTTTATCGTCCAAGAAATTTTACCAATTGTTCAAAAAAATTGTTAAGCTATTATAAAATATGCTTAATCTTTATAACAGTAAATTTTAACAACAATTAAACTATATATGTAATAATTAATAAAATTAAAATCTATCTTAAAACTAAATAATTAATTAGCGCGATAAATTCGTCATCGCAGAATAAATAATGAAACTCTGTTCATCTCATATTAAAGAGATAGTGTCTTTTAATCTAATAACTGAAGAACGATTTACTTGATTAAATTTATATTTCGATCGATCAATAGCAGTCCCTACAACGAAATTTTTATATCTTGTTGTTGCGCGCCATTCATCTGGATGTGAAATTAATTGTTATAATAGAACTATAGCGATTACAACAAGAATTTTGTTACCGATACATTAAAAAATATTCGTAGTCAGAAAAAAGTTTATCGTGGGAAACGTGGAAATTTTATTGTTTGTATTAATTTAGCAATAATTAGGAGACTACGAAACGTCGAAAGTGTTCGCAATGAGCACTTATTTCAACATTACCTTGAAGAAGAGAAAATGAATCGCGTTATCACTTGTACGTCAGGAAGTAATTTATGTAACCGAAAGGGAACAAAGAGAGTCACACGCGTATAATGCAAAACCGGCAAAATGATATGCACTAAATTATAGATACACTGTTGGGTGATAATTGTATAAATAAGTAAGATATGGATAAGAAAGTGTCTAATTTGAATAATAGATAATTGCACGTTTAAACAAATCTGCAATGTGCATTTAAAGTTTTGCACATTTTCTATAAACAGCAAAAAATATATTGTTGAAATACATTATTAAATCGTACTTTAAATGTAATAAAATGTTTTATATTCGGCGCAAAACAGCGATCGTGATAAAATTGACTTTGCATTTCCATTACTATTTCGCTATTGACACAATTATAAGTGTGTATTATTTTAAGATTGTAAGATTTTCATTGCATTCTAAACGTCCCATTGAATATTTTTATTGTTTTAAAAATTATACTATTTAGTAGAACGCTTACAATTTACCTGTATCTTTTTTATCATAATTCGCGCAGCTTTTTGTTATCGGAAAGAATATTTTTAAAAAAATTTAAGTTTTTTCCGACATTTTTTAATAACTTATTAATATTCTCATGTATATTATCTTATACACATATTTGCACATCCAAACTACTTTCGATGCCAATTTCGCCAATTTTTTTCTTATTACGTATTAGCATTGTAAAATACTTTCATTCATTTTACCTCATCTAAATCATTTTTAATAATAAGTACGACTTACGCGGACACGGTGCATATTGCTCGTTCATTGTTAATTCCATTCGTTCCAAGGCACAGCTGCGCGTCGTAAACACGCCTTTGTATTCAGATTGCCATATAGTGTTTCCGCGTCAATACGAGAATTCTTCTTGCCACCTGTATAAAATATCAGATATGTTAATGATTTCGCGCACATATTTCTTCATCGTTTTTCGTTCTTGACAGATCAAATTCAATTTAAGTGAATTAACATCGATCGGAACGAAGAAGTATTCAATATATCTTTTGTATATCTAATTAGACGTTACGTAAACAAGGACAAAATGATGCACTGATAGCAGGTTCCTCATGGCCAAATGCAGCTCACAAGTATATATATGTATAAGACGCGTTTGGGCGCGTATAACATCGCATCATTCTATTTTTATCATTAATCAGACGTAAAACAAAGATGAAATGACGCGATAGCGCTGACAGCTTTTGCTACCCGAACGTGCTTATAATGTAACCTTTAAAAACGTGGCGCGCGATTTTTTCGATACTTTACTATAACAATTGGATTGATCTGCGCGTGGATATAATTAAATGTCTGATCGATAGACGTTACTCTCTGTCATTAATGGCTGGAGAAATTCATCTAATTCAGGAAAAAGCTGTATGAACGAACGTTTGCGCTTTACATCTGCAATGAATTCGCAAAACTCGAATCATATATCGTACTTGTCGCCTTTCTCAATTATAAATTATGCCGAATTCGCCCCGTCGCCAAAACGATATACATTTGTGTTATATTAATATATAAAATATCGATCGCATATAAAATTCTCTAAACGTAAAATTTAGTGTCACACATACTTCTGCGTCCGTATATAATTCATCCTTGATTGCGAAAAGTTGACGCCAACTTCTATATCGTACAGATCTTTTTATTAATGCTAATTTCAACCCTTTTACCACGTGTAGCATATGTATGTATGTATGCATGTATGTATGTATATATGTATGTACAATACATATACCACATACCTGTATATCGAGAAGACAAATCTGTTTCGAATGTGAATGAATTCGATGCGGTACCAGCAAGGGTATAGCGAGTAACTTTTAAATTATCGAAAGCGTCAATCGTCGCCATCCACAGATCTTCGCAAACATAGATACGCGCATGCGCGACACCGAGATACGACGTGGTTATGCCGAGTTTTCATCGCAACAGCGACGATTACCTAAAGGTGCCTTTTCACGCTGACGCTCATTTTCAGCATCGAAATATAAGTTATTATGTGATCAAAATTGACGCTAAACAGTGAAAAATGCATGAACAGGATGTAGCATATACATATTATATGTATGTAGCATGTGTCCAGTGGATAAATCCAACTTCCTGCAGTGTCAGATCGCGTCAGCGATTTATTGTCCAATTTTTATATCAATATAGGATAGTTATTCTTTAATCTTTAATTTCTCTTATTTTTTTCTAATTCTAAGAATTAGAAAAAGATGAAGGATAAACTTTTTGAAACCAGATTAAAATTAACTTACACTAATAGAAATGAATATTATTTAATCAAAATGATTTGAAGCAAAATTTTTATTAGTATAATTTTTATTTAATCTTTTTTTCACATATTAAAGTCTAATAATGTTATTCCTGTTAATAAAATAGTACAGATATTACATCGATAAGTTAACTATCGGATTAAAGTTAATCGTAGTTTCATCGGAGTCATTTCTTCTGCCGCAGTTGGCACTGCGATCTGCATGATCTGTATCGTGTGTCGTTCGTCAAAATTCTTTTTCGTCCTTTACCAAATATAATTAATAGGAAAAAAAATGTCAGCGTGGAGACAGGCAGGATTAAAGTAAGGAAATCAATTTTCGTTATCGTTCTCCGCGTTTTTGTCTTCACACATGTCAAGTAAATAATATATTTTGTATCAGAATCGCATTATGTAACCAAATTTTCATCTGTCGTTAATCAAAGTAAAATTTCATTCTAATTCAATAATTGTTCTTTGTGATTAACGGAATATATTTTAACAGTTGGATATTATTTATATAAACATGAATGTTCTTTTTTATCTTATTACAGTTATATCAACTACTCTCAGATCGCAGCTAGGTTAGTCAGGCAAGCCTTGAAAGCAGACTTGAGGGCAGAGGCTGCCAAACGCGACGAAGTTAATGTGAAATTTACTCAATGGAAAGATGGAAAAGCCGTCAGTACGTATGCCTCCGGATTTATTATCGCATTCTCGAGTTTCATGTTAACAAAGGGGAATGTAATCGTTGCAATTTACTATTCCGTCGTCATTTATATAATTATTTATCTCATATCATTTCTATTTTTTTTTTCTTTATAGACTTATAAGCTTTGTAGAATTCTTTCTTAGCTTTTATACTTATTCTTCTATTATACTTGTGTTACATGTACAATATATTTTGTTACAGCTGAAAAAATGTGATCGTAATGATCAGTAAGTGGACGTTAGGAATGTACCATTAGAGAAATGTTTTTTTGTTTTAATAGAGTGTCTTTAATATCAATAGTTTTTAATGCAGGTGTGATTTGTTTTGCTAGAGTGCCTTTTAATATTAATAGTTTTTAATGCAGGTGTAACTTATCTCAGAAAGCATTCATTTGACTTTTTAACTTGATCATCGTGTGCAATACAATTAACTTCTTCATTATTTCTTACTGTGTGTAATTAATCTAACGATTCTTATATCATATTCATATTTCGTAATTCCAAATAATGCAATAATGGCATGAAACAAATGTCCTTATATTTGAATATAATATTTATTCTTTAAGCTACAAGATATTGTTTGAATATACTTGAAGTTACAAATGTAACACTGATAAAAATTATGTTTTAGAGTTAATTAACATTTTTATCTTTACGTGTTTATTTCACTAAATCTTATCCTCTTTAAAACTTATATTTATATGTGATGTCAGTATATATATATATATACATATAAGATTATATACAAGATTTTTTTGTTACAGAAAATGGCTAGATGACAATATCACAGACGGATGCAGAATTCATCCAATATACATTTATAGCCATAAGTATGTACGAGGATCTCTGTCTCTATAAATAAAAACATTCTTCGTACTGTTACTGCTTTTCTTTGATGTGACCCACTCGTGATCAATTTTTATAACGTCATCTCACAGCAGGGCAGTCTTCCAGTTTACTCTTGCAATGTACTAAAAAATAAAAGGCATTTATTTTTTCTGTGACAGAAATATTATACTAGCAAATTATTCGTTTTTAAATACATTATACTTACCAATGAATTCTGTAACTAGATCATTATCACTCTCTCCACGCATAGTTCCAGTAATCTCTTCGTTTTCTACCATTGGCAAAAATAATTGCATAAATTCGGTTGTATATGGAGATGATATCGCTTCCAAGACCTAACATTGTAAATATGTACGTCGTAATAAAGTATCAACATAATAATTCATTGACAGAACAGTATTATAATTTACCTCGGTAACGAAATATCTAATTAAAGATATATCTGTATCGCCACGTTGCCAACATTGCTTAATATAGGATACGACAGGTACTACGCAACCTCTGCTTAGCAAATTCACCATTCTGTCGATTAACATCTTTTTCATTTCCAGCTACATGGGGAGAAAAAAAATTGTTCATATAAAATATCGATAGCTGTTAGTCCTTAAACTGATGCCACAAATATGCTTACTTGTACAAGTATCTCTAATTCGTCTTGCTTGCTTTCAAACAATTGTACAAGTAATCGTAGTATTTTTGGATGCAACAAGGGATGGCAGTGTACAACTTCATCTAGTAAAGCGAGATGCACGGGGCAATGCTCTGTACATAATTTAAAGTATGAAGGTTCAGTCACAGTACACTCTACCCACCGTATCACACCCACGCTTACAACAGGAAATCTGTAATAAACAAATTCGTTAGTAAAAGTGTATTTTTCTCCTTTGACGCGGAAAAACATGTCGGAAATCAATGTTGTACCGTATGCTTTGATACAGGGTATGCAATTCTGCTATTAGCTCAGTCGATCCTTTATTTATGTTACATATATTATGCACTTTCTCAATTGCCTGAGTAGTCGTTTTCAACTCGTCCTTATTAATTTTGCGGGCACTGTTTTTTTTAGGAGCTGTCTCGCACACACTTGCTGCATAAGCTAGTAAATGTATGTATTTTGATTTATGTTCAGGATTTATCTTTACACCGGGCTTAAAAAGTGCATCAACCAGTAATTCTGCAAAAAAAGAAGAAAATACAAAATTTTAGCTAGCTAGACCAATGATCTGATTTCTTAGGAAGACTGAGTACCTTAGTGGTACAGCAAATTTTTGTTAAGAGAGATGTGTGAATTCAATTCTTAATTCTATCACTTCTCATATATGTAATGTAACAAGAAGTGTTGCTTGGAGAAATATTATTGTTAAACAAAAACTAAACGGAAGTAGCTGATAGTGCAATGTATATCAACTCCATTATAAATCATGATCAAGTAGGAAAAGATGAAAATTTAATTTCTTACTATAAAGTTTTATCAATTAACAAAGTAACGATAGGCTTGTCAGTGTAACAGACAAACAAAAAATAAAATAGGCCAAACTAAAAATCATATCGCGTATTTGATTTTTAGTATGTTACATTATTAATGCTGTCAACTTCATTTTATCATTAGTTTGGCCCATTTTATTTCTTGAAAGTTTTATAAATTTACCTAAAAATTGTGGATTGCGCAACAATTCAATGGGAGGTGGCTCCGCTGCAGAATAATTTCTAAACAAGACCGTGATATCAGCGGGATTTAAGGTGTTTCTCGACAACATAGACGCTAGAGCCTGACACGCTGCGGGACTACCAGCAGCGCCGTTCAGGGCCATTGTTATCGGCGTGACATCGTGTCGACTTTGTTGCGCGCACTTGGTGATCTCTTGGGAGAGTCTTTTCATCATGAAGCCACCACGGGGTTCTTGCGCGAGAATTTGCAACAAGACCTGACTGTATACATAGGTGTGCTGGCCGTGACACACCATTTTCGCACACTCCTGTATGCTGGACTGCCAGTTTTCTGTATTCTTCAGAAATCCAGCAATCGCGGTCTTCAGCACGCGCGAGAAGACCTCGATTTGCTGGGCCGCGGTCGAAATGCTCGTGATTTCGCCTTGGAATCCAGCGTCGGATATAAGCTTGATGGTGAAATTTAACATTAAGCAATCCGGATACTCCTCCGCGAGCCTATAGATAAGGGATCGCCAAGTAGGGTGCTGTATCATTTCAGTCAACCAGGCCGGAGTTTCACCCTCTTCGGTAAAGATCTTGTCCGCTTTCTTGGGATCGAAAGTTTTAAGGATCATGTCCTTCAAATTATTTTCCACCATCGCCTGCACGTCGGTGACCTTTACCCCGGCAAGAATCAACCATTCCGCGAGTAGATTCGCCGTCTGTGCGCAAGCCGTGTAATTTTTCGACAGCAATTCTATAACTTGCTCGGGATTTCCTCCGGCTTGGAAGTATCTCTTAAGTTGGGCGAAAATACCGGGCTCCATTATATAGTCAGCCGTTTTGAACTTATCCAAACATTCGTTTAGTACTTCCTGTGGATTGTCAAATGTATCTTCCCCGCTACACTCGTCGGTGCTTCGGTTCATCTCGTCTCCCCAACCACTACGATCGTCGTCGTAATCAGTCTCCATCTGCATATTAATTACATTAGCCGTTAATATCAATAGCATATAAAACATATATATTGCACAGTTTTCTAAAATTTCAAGATAAATATAAATTAAATCATAAATTTAAAAATATTGTTATTTCAAACAGTGTAACTTTAAATAAAAAATTATACATATAGGAATGTAATTATTTATCAATTTTCCATCTAAACAATCAGTATGTAATTAATCTCTAATGATTGATACATATACTGAAAAATAAATATTACAAAACATACAAATACAGGTTAGAAAAATTTATTCGTGAAATAGCGAGCATCTTATATAAATTCTTTACTTCAAATGCATCACAATGTCCCAAATGAAGAGAATATTTCTCCATGAGGCGCTATCAATAAATCGGAGAGCATTATTAGTTACAAACCTTTCTCAAATAAGGCAAAGTGCTACGCTACACAACTACTATATCCGACTCGGTTTGACTGTGCGCAACTGTTGTGTTGAACTGTGCGTTTGATTGCTAACGGATCAACGTTGCGAAATAATGCGCAATCCACACGGTAACCAATATTTAAGGTTTTCCAGAAATCCTTGGAACCGATCATCTACTTCGGTTTATTTTGTTCGTGATTTCCTCTGATCTTTTCTGATCTCGAATAATCTCGAATGATTCACAATAAAACTGAGGCATAAAAAGTCTACAGTCGGAGAATGGTCGGAGTTTCTGGAAGTCCTATTCAACCGTGTTAATGACAATAGCCATTCACAGCGACCCAGTGTCTCACCACAGCGACCGGAGTTTTTCCATTGGACCAACCAATCAAAAAATTTTGAGACTCGACCGGGCACCGTACGCGTTGCTCCGCGTCGCGTCACTCGCGTCGCGTGCAATTGCGAGAGCAGCGAGAGGAGCAAAAAGTTCGGTCTCGCGCGCCTCCGATTGGGTCGCGCATATACATTCCCCGCGGTAGCGAGAGAGCGCGCGCGACGCGCGGCGTCACGTGCGCCCGCGCATGCGCGGTCGGGCGCGATTTGAAGGAAGCCTGCTGGCGCCCCGGTGGCGGTCTTCGTGATCCGAGCGCGGCCATATTCCCTCTCGTGGCTCACTCTCGTCCGCAGGAGGTAGGAAAGGTGGTGCGCGGTTCCGGCGGTGACCGAATTTTCCAGGGAGGCGATGGTCGCGACGCGCGCGTGCATTTCGTAACGGTCGTCGTGCAGTGACGGGTGCAGGGAGTGAGGAACGGCTAATCATGCCCAGGGAAGGCGGCAATCCGGCCGGCAGGCGACCGTCGTCGCGCAACGCGAAGCCCTACGACGCGAACAACGTGAGTAGCCTCGCCACCACCATCACCACCATCATCATCACCACCACCACCACGACGGGCGACCGCCGCGGCGTGAGCGAGCCCGCGGGCCCCGCGGCCGCGGCGGCGACGGTGGGCCGCGCGCCCTTCGCGCGCCCCTTCGTCACCAGGGTAGGACGGCGATCGGACCGACGTCGGGCGCCGACTCCTCGCCGCATGGTGTCCCGCATGCCCGCCCTTTCCCTACGACGAGGCCCCCCCACGCGATATCCACGGTGTCACGGTTATGTGAGTGAGCCCGACGATAACCTCCAATCCTTTCCCCGTGTCTCGCGTGTCGCGCGCGCGAGCGCGCGCGCGGCCCCGTTCGCGGGGGCCGTTTCCTCGACGAACAACCACGTTCTCGACCGTCGACGCGCGGACTCGCGAAAGACATGTCCGTCCATCCGCGTGAGCGTAAGCCTCCTCCGTGGAGTGCGAGAAACGCAAGTTACAGTTCCTCTGCGTCTCCCTTTCTCTCTTCCTCTTTCTCTCTTCCTCGCGTCCCCCTTGCCGAGTATCGCGCTCTCTGCGTAGGTCTTCGCGCGAATCTTCGCGGTTACGTTGTACCATCCCGTACCCCGGACAGATCTCGTACACGAGATTCGGGTATCGTTTAAAGTCGGGATAGAAATCGTCATTGTTTTCTGCGTATTGCATAATGTAACGTAATTTAAATTATAGCTTCAAAAAAATTTACTTTGCGACCTAACCAACTGAAATATTAGCTCGGTGAAATTTACGCAATGTTATTTTTCACACAAAATTTACAAGCATGCCATTGTCGTTTGATTTTTTTTTGTTTAAAAGTACATATTGTTTTCAATTTTGTATCAAATATTTTAATTTTATATTTTGCCGTTGCTTGTAATATATTTGAGTCTAGCACTAATGGAAATATCAACAATATGCGTGAAATATTGTTATAATATTATTTAACAATAAATTTAACCTCTTCGGTACGATTGTTGATTAAAGTCGACAGCTATGAAAGGCATATATATGATTGATCGCTGACTAAAGCTGACAGCCAAGAAAGACGTACTCCTTTAAAAATAACTTGTCTCATCAACTAATAAGTACTACATGGCGAATGTGTATTGTACCAAAGAGATTAAACTTGTGCAGTAATACACATATATCTGTATGTTACATATTCGTGTATTTATATTCTTTACAGTCATTTGTAAGAAAGGTAGCAACCAAGGTAACAGATTTTATACCACAATCGTCGTGGATCAGTAAGTGGTTCAATACCTCTCAGAGTAATGAGGATGCGTTAGAAGGTAGAGGGAGTGTTGAGGAGGCAGAATTTGAGGATGATGTGCAGCAACCACCTCCTAGCAAGCGATCGCGCATTCGTATGGACGTGATTCATCCACCTGGCACATTCTCTATACAAACGAGAGTTAAAACTGCTTTGAACACAGTTGATCCCTCTAAAGAGCGGTATTCTGTTCATAATGAAATGGTAACTGTTCAGAACAAGTTTGTGTGACGAAACACATGTGGAGACGTAGATGTATGTTACTTATTAAAATTCAAAATTTGCAGACGGAAGATTTTATGGAACCTGCAACAGCTGGACCAAGTGGAATAGGCCGTTTAATATCATCGACTCCTGCGGTACAAGCAGACATTAGGACTGTAACGTCGCATAGGTCTGACTTAAATTCGTTTGTTTCGCCGACTAATAATGGAATAGCAAATGGAATGGACGATAATTCGGAATCCAGTGAAAGTACTAGTGGATGCAGTTCGCTTATTCCACAGATAAATAGGCACGAAGGCCCATCAAACTTGTTGTATAGTTCATCGTTTACTAGTAGAAAGAGGCACGTCGATGATAAATTGACATTTAGTGAGTATAAATTATATATTGCATAGAAGTTAATCATAAATGTGTGACATTAAGTTAATTTACTAAATGCGTATAAGTTAAATGCTAAAGTTTCGTACTCGGCCGAAAGTAATTATTTTTAAAGAGGAATAATACGTCGATACATATGTTGCACAAGTATTATCTTTTTGTTTCAGCTAATCATTTACAATCTCCAAGGTCCTTGTTTCTAGACAGTAATTCTCGCGATACTTTAAGCAGTCGTAGGCCGAGTTTTAACGCATCAATTATAACCAACGCTGCAGACCGTGCATCTCCGCTATCCTCCCCTTTTTATAGTGGTAATATTACTTTCGGGGGTGCAAATGCGGCAGGTCTTTACAAACGAAGTCGAAATATTTTTAACAATTCAAACGAGGTATGTATTTTAATTTTTTTTTTATTTTTTTTGTTACTTTTTAAGGGAAGTTTCGTTCTCTGATTTCTCGAATTATTTTAAACAAATATAATTTGATATAACATCACTGGTTTATATATTTATTTTTAGATACAACTTAAAGTACCAAGGAGAACAAGTGTGGAAGTTAAACCTTCCGATGCAGTAGGAGTCGATTCGTCGGGTATGAGTCAAACCGCCAAAAAGATATTGGAAGCACTGGAACATTTCTCCTCGCCAATATCCGACGCGAAGAAAATTCCGTTGAAAAACACAAATAATGCCGTGTCTTCGGTGAGCAGAAAAAGACCGCGAGAAGAGATAGCAAGTCCATCCGCTAGAATCGGTTTGCGGCATTTGACGCGTGAATTAACAGTACCAACCGTCCCCGATATATTGAAATTAAGACGAAGACAAAAGTTACAAGATACAACTCTTGTGGCTAGAAAAATCGTTTCCGCTCGTAGCGGTCCACCCCCACCTCCGCAGGAATATCGGTTGAGGTATGTTTACCAAATAATTTTCATGTACATTTGTTCACATACAAACCCATTATTTTTACAAATATAAATAACTTTTTCTAGGACGGAGGATACCGATAACGAAAAGTACCGCGGCAAGTTAAAGGGCAGATCTAAAGTATGTTTAGAAAAACAGGAACCAGTGGCGCCTGTAAATTTACCGAACATACCTCTGCCAATAACAACGTTACCTACCTTCAATTTCACCCTATCACCCCCTGCTTTACATTCCGCAGGCAAAACTGTAGCAAATAAGAAAAACTCTTTCACATTTGCTAGCCCTATTAAGGTAACCGACGCTGGGAAGAGTTTGCAGTCTGTCAACAATTTCACCTTCAGTAATCCGATTAACGCTGAAGACGGTGCGAATAATACGGCTGATCCGAATTCACGTTCTACAGAGAACGAAGTTACTATTGATTATGCGATTACATCCATGCCGAATTTCATTTGGACTGGCTCATCCACAGCGCCCAGATTAAAAGCGAAGGTAAAAACCAGCAAGGATGATTCCGCTAGTTCTGCGATGCTGCAGAAATTGAAATCGGAACGTGTCGCGGATGTACTTTCGAAGTCTAACAAAACGAAATCTAATTTAATTGGAGAGTCAAACTCGGAATTAGCGTTTGAAACGACACACACTGACAAAACTGCTAGCACATCCTTCAGCTCGGATTCTGATATTACAAGCATGTATGGTACAGAATCGTCTTGGGAGTGTAGTGAATGTATGATTAGGAACAATGGTACAGACAAACAGTGCGCTGCATGTAAAATTTCTCGATCCAATCCTAATGACAAAACTTCATTACCCTCGACATCGACAACAGATATAGTCGTAGAAACAAAGCCAGTCGCGCCCGATTGTTTCGGGTCTCAATTTAAACTGTCTACAAATCAATGGGAGTGTGCGGCTTGCTGTGTAAGAAATAAACAGAGTGATGCCGCATGTGTAGCGTGCACTACACCAAAACCGGGAAGTAGTTCTACGATGCAACAAACTGTTAAATCTCAACATTTCGATCTAATGGAGAAGTTTAAGCCCGTCGAAGGATCGTGGGAGTGCTCCGGTTGTTTATTAAGAAACGCCGCGAACGTTATTACGTGTCCTTGTTGCAATACATCTAAACCTACTTCTATAAAAACAAAACCGAAAATAACAGGTGATGTTACAGAATCATCTACGCAAAAGTTAGGAATCACGGTAACGCAAGATACATCTAATAATTCCGAAATAATGAACAAATTTAAACCGAGCAAATATTCCTGGGAGTGTCCGGGATGTCTTGTTAGAAATAACAGTTCTGTTACCGCCTGTCCTTGCTGTAGCACCCCTAAGCCTGGTTCTGCCGGAGCGCCGAGCAAAGTGGAACAGGCATCGAGTAACGGGTTTGGGGACAAATTTAAGAAACCAGAAGGTGCATGGACTTGCGATTCTTGCTTGCTACAAAATGACGCGAAGCATACGGAATGTGTGGCTTGCCAAGCTTTAAAGCCTGGCACTGTAAAATCAAACGAATCTTCATCGAATACTAGTTCTACCTTGCAGTTTAAGTTTGGTGTACCATCTGGTGCAACAACTTTAACTTGCCATTCAGGTGGATTTAAATTTGGCATAGATACATCTGACAATCAATCTAAATCCGACACAGCGTCTCCGTTAAACGGATTCAAATTTGGTAACGCACAGCAGAATACCGGACAGTTTACATTTGGCATTCCAAAGGAAGGTAACAAAGCTGTAAGTGAAGCAGCTAAAACCAATAGTGTCACTACTTCTAGTTCTTCTAGTAGTACAGGATTTCTGTTCAACGTGAAAAATTCCGAAAAACCCGAATCCGATCAGGGTCCGGGAACTAAACGGGAAATACTTTTCGGCATGCCGAAAAATGATGGTTTAACAACCGCAAGTGAGAAACAGAATACAAACGTTGTGTCGAGCGCTCCATCGATCGCTCCTTCTTTCTCCTTTGGCATGCAGAAACCAGGCTTTAATCAGCCCGCCCAAATTTGTCCCCCCAAAAAGACGTCCTTTGCAACCGCTGTAACAGAAGCCTCCAAGCCAGCAACAACTGATGCAGTACCAGTTAGTACTAATACGACATTGCCATCGTTACTGACGCAGAAAAGTGTTACGAAGAATATAGACGGAAAACCGGAACCGTTATTTTCATTTGGAGTACCGAGCAGTGTAAGCGCTGCTACCACAACTTCCACGAATGCAACGACTACTTGTCTTCCAACTTTTGCTCAACCTACCTTCACATTTTCCGACTCAAAGACATCTCAGCCAGCTGTCACGGTACCGTCATTTGGTCAGATTCCGACGTCATCCGCCGCGTTATCCACGAGCGGCTCGTTCGAAGGAAACAAAGCAACCGAGGCTACCCCGTCGACTAACAAAGCCACGAACGATACACCGGTCGCCACGCTCTTCCCGATCGTCTCGAGCTCCACGCCACTGTTCAACAATGAATCGAAGACGACGATAGCATTCAGCACGGATAAGCCGACGTCGTTTACCACGACGGGCGGTAAGCCGTCAGGATTTGCCATGCCCGAAAACAAAGTTCTGTCTTTCGGCGCCGAGGGTAAACCACCGATTTTCGGTACGCCGGAAACGAAGTTACCCGTATTCAATTCACCCGCGGCAAATCCTCTGTCGACGTTCGGTACGCCGTCTAACAGTGCCACTTCGTTGCCGTTTGGATCAAGTAATACCCCGACCTTTGGAAATACTGGAAATACCACGTCCACTTTCGGTGGTGCTACGACAGCATCCACTATGTTTTCAACTACCAAGCCCAGCGAGACTAATGCTGCTGCTGCTGCTGCTGCGTCGAACTCTTCTTTATTCACGTTCGGCTCGGCTTCGTCGCAACAATCGACAAGCGGCGGATTTAACTTCTCCACGAATGTCAATCCAGCCGCGTCGTCTTCTGCGAAGCCGACGCTCTTCACGTTTGGTTCAAGCAGTTCAAGTACGCCGCAGAGTAGCAACAATACGTTCGGTAGTGGTACATTTGGAGCTAACTCCGCTCCAACAAATGCTGCCAATTTTGCGTTTAATCCATCTAAACAAGAAACACCGGCGACGGCATTCGGTCAAGGTGCTGCAACAACACCAGCAGCAGCAGCAACTCCGATATTCGGTACCCCACAGGCAAATCCGCAGACTCAAGCAACGTCATCGTTCTCGTCGACTCCATCGTCCAGTACAGGATTCAATTTTGGACCTACAGCTCCAGCTGCTGCGACGTCGGGAGGTTTTAACTTCGGAGGAATGGTAAATATATGTATATGAGTAATATATTTAATATGTTAAAAATGCAGATATTTCAGTATGGCATTATCAGAGAATCTATATTTTTCTACATGTTCCTTTCAAGTAAATTGATATTACTAATTGTAATGTTTCAGTCATCTACACCTGCGTCGACCGGAGGATTCAATTTTAATTCTCCTGCTACTACTCCCGCAGTAGCTTTCGATCCAAATAGTCGGCCTTCGTTCAACTTCACCAAAGGAAGTGCACCAACGACATTTAAGTAAGCATCTTGTCTCTCATTCACACATCTGTCACATCTCTCAAATTTTCTCGCGCTTACGCATTTTGTACTTACGGGATACGTACTAAATAATATGTCTTTTGTTTTACAGCGCTACTCCACAATCGGCAGCAGCACCACGGAAAATCAAAAAAGCATTTCGAAGATGCGTGCGGTAGAGAGCATATGACAACACGTTCACGCATACATTCAGGTGCGTCTCCACATCTGTCTGTGTATCTGAGTGTGTCTCTGTATGTTAAGCATTATATAAAATGATGTACAATGAAATTCTGTCATACATCAAATAATTGCAGTGTGGTGGTATATACCAAGCATCTTTGTAATATAGTAACCCGAAGCTAACCGAACATGCTTGCGTACAACCACTTGTGTTCTCTCTCTCTCTGCAGGAAGTGTAAATTATAAATTATTTAAATTATACAAGTTATAACGAAAATAATATCTTGGAGTTGGCATAAAGCCAGTAAATCGTGATGGCGTTGCATTACTGAGACCTTACCAAAAAGTTGGACGTGATGTACATGTATTGACATGACGTTACTCAAAATAGCATACATATTTGCCGAAATTGAAAAGTACCTCGATAAAGAAAACTAATAAGCACTCAATGTGTGCAATTGAAGGTAAATACTAGTGGGAAATTACCACCTGTTCAGGTAAGTATAAGTCAGCCACAGCTCGTAGCACGCTTTGTAGAAGAGTCTTGATGTGAGACTTATTGAGTTTAAAAGCACTATATACTCAGGCATCGTAATTTTTTAACTAAACATATACAAGTTAAAATAGTTAAACACTAACACTTGAATCTTTGAATCTTTATATTTTCAGATAAGTTGGTTAATTATTATTTTTTCAAAATTTTACATGATTTTATGTAACTAAATTATCATTAAGTGTTTATGACGATGCCAGCTTAAAAACATTTCTAGAACATTGTGACATTACGAGCATTGTGAACTGACTATATATCAATAAAGTCCCACACATACATATATACATATATATATATATGTGTATATATATATACATTTATATAGATATTAATTATATTTCAATTAGAATTTCGTGGGCAGCCCTACACAATCTCTGTAGAACTAGTCCAGGAAAAGTGTAATATACACAAAAATGGCATTCGGATAGTACAAACTGACGATTACTGAACGTTTCCATTGAGTAGTCGAAATTATATATATTTTTTTTATATATTGAATGAAATAATCCTATAAGAAAATACTGAATGCCATTTTAATAGGATTAAATAATGTTGTGTGTTTTACCACGGAGTGAGTGAAATAAATTTGAAAGAAGAATATGTGTTAAATGGAGATAAATTATTACGGGACTTCTAAAGAATTTCTTTCTAATATTTTATCGGATATAATTCTTATTTTCGACAAATTTTTGGATTTTTCAAATTATGTACTATTTTTTTTATTTATTAATGTATACTTATATATAGTGGGACGTTAATAAATTTCGGTTAATAAATTTTGGAAGGTTCGATTTAATTTAAACCTAATGAGATGTTCACTTATCTCATTTTAGATATTGTTAAAATCAAAATAAAAAATTTTTAACTACATATTTCGGCTATTACACAAATAAAAAATGTTTGATTTTTCAACCTTTTTAAATAAAAATCTTATGTCTTTTACAACAATAACATAGAATAATTTTCGTCAATACAATTCTTAGAACATTTACATAATTGAAATTACTTGAAATCATTTGAATAATCGAAATTATAAATCATTCTTTTTAGAAGTCCCCTAAGATGGAAAGTAGTTAGATGGCATGTAATAATGATTAATAAATCATTAAAATCATGCACATCTTATTTAAGAACAGGCTAGTTGTGTGTATGTTGGCTTAGACTTGACAGTAGCCAAGAATAACTCGGCACATGACCTATCTTATGCCATATTAGAGACACCTAGGTACAAAACATTCTGTTAAACATTGTTGTTTATCCGTTGTTATGTAATATTTACATGTAAACATTAGGTTCTGTACATTGTTAAGAGACAAAAATTCATATGATATAGTTTCTATATAAACTTGTATTTTTAACACTGTCAAAATGTCCTTTGTAGGTACACGTTTCTCATTTAAGATGTAAACAACGTTGATTAAATACATAATATCAGTGTATGGGTGAGGTTTCAAGAAAACTCTGTGATGCAAGTATGTGTAAAGTTAATCGAGCGTATACCGATAAATAGTTAATAACTTACAAATTCATGTAGGTGAAATTATTTTAGTTTTTAAGTAAACTCCCATACCTAATAATACCTACAAAGGATTTTTTGAACGTAAGCAATTGACAAGACTCTGTTTTACACGTTTGCAAAATGAAAATAAAACAGGATTTAATGGTAAAGCGAGGCTGCGCTGAGATATGTCTGTGCTGCTGTCTTACACTGTGAACATTCTCTGTTGAGGCTGTGTCGTCCATTTGTCTATGAATAGACAAATTTCCAAATTAATCAATATATCGAATATTGCCTTACACAGGCAATATCTTTGTATTAAATTTCGTATATGGCCTTACAAATACATAATGAATGTGTAATGTAGATGTATTAAACAATTATAAAGCATATTGGAATTGTTTTGTAGCACTTTATATACTCTCAATTGTAATATGTTTGCATAAATATCTGAAGAGTACTGCATTAAAAATGTTCAACACAATAGATATGTAACATTCCATATCTGATAGAAATTTTCTTTTTGATGAATTATTTGAGAAACTATTGTTTAATATAGAATTTTAATATCATACATACATATATATAAAATCGTAGGCAGTATTATTATTTGCAGACTTATAAAATGTATCAGAGTCTATATTTCTTTATGTAACATTAATTTATTTCTTTGTTTATGTACATCAATAGGAATGAAAAGGTTCCATGATAAAGAGTAAAGACTATCTATTTTTTTATGTAATTCTATGAGCCATGGGATGTTACAGTATGTCAAATATTCTGAGGCCTTATTATAATCTTAGTCCATTGGAAATTATGCATTGTACTGAATTTTTCTGAATATCTATCGAGAATGCATTAAGCAATTATCTAATAAAGTTCAGAAATGAGGGAGTTTGTTATGAAATAAATCCAATGACTGACTGTAATTAAATAAAATAATACATGGGAGAATGTTCACTGTATGCTTCAGGTGCTATGAGGATGCTGTTACATTCTCATGACATGATGTAACATTAGTTAATACGAAAAACGCATTGGTGTTTCTCAACTGTTGAACTGACTTATAGAACAATTCGAAAGACGTAAAATATGTAATATGCAAGGTGTAAAAAAAAGCCATCTTTATTCGCACAAGCAAAATCGACGAAATATGCTTATGATGATGAAAAACGCGCGTTTTTTTTTTTTTATTATGTATTATTTCACCGAAAATATGTATTATATCTTTAAATCTTAAAACTTATAAAAGTCACGATTTTTTCCTCTTTAAGATGATTCATTAAATTTATTTAAAAAAAAATGCATTTTAATTTGATGCAGAATATATAGGCATAAGCGACGTCAATAATACTCGCAATAATAACAATAAAAATATATGTAACATGCGGAATTTTTTTTTTCGTGGAGCAGAAATGCAGTATCGATTCTCTAAAGAGTTACTGCTTCGATTCTTTATCTGTAATGAATAAAGGTGACGTTGCCTTAATGGATAGCACTTGTAATATTTAAGAGCTACTTGGAGCTTGTGTTGAGAAACACCGTATAGGATACAAGAACATTATTACGAGTACTATTCTTAATACTAACCTCGTCTGTTTAGCCATAACGATTACATAATTATGCATTCATGTATGTAATTATATGATTATACAAATAATCATATAATTATACGAAACATATATATATATATATATATATATATATATATATAGGATATATTAAAAAAATACCAAGTAAAATACGATGTTAAATAATTTGGGTTATATAATTTTATTTTATATTTAGAAAAAAAAGGTAATAGGAGGGCATTTAGTAACCATCGGTTTGAACTAAAGAATTTTACTATAGCATGTGCACACGCATATATATAAATACGTTAAAGTAATTTTCCTAGTACGTACATATTATGTAGGAAAAATCACAAAGTGTGCAGATCCATATCAAAATTCTTTGGGTCAAAAAAATAATCTAACATAATTAGAACATAAATTCAATCGCAATTCCTGATTAGCTAAAGTGTAATGTGTTACGAATATGTTCTTTCATTTTGTTTTAATCTTGTAAGTAGTAGAATCGCTCCTTGACAGTTCCTCAAAGAAATATACAAAATAAGAAATATCTACTGTGAATTATTGTATCACATTCGTGGTTTTTGACATCCTAAATTGTATACATACGTTACATATATATGTATGTATATATCGCTCTACAAACTGTTATAACAATCTATTTCAAAAGTGATTTTCAACAGTATGATATGCAAACAATATTTCTTTTTGAACATTTTTTCCAGTATATTCGTTTAATATACTTTTTTTCCATTGTCTCAGAATATCATTCAAATAAATAAGTTGTACAGTGAAAAATGTTTCAAAATACCTCATTAAAGAATTCCTTAACAATATAGTCCTTTAAATAACGATTAAATAACGATTACAATTCGCGATAGTATCGACTATTTCATATACAGCACTATGCTTGTTAAACGCTAGAATTATGGATACAACGTAATAAAATCTTATTTGTGTCCTTTCTTTATTTGACATAGTTGTATAGGAGATTACGAATAAAGTAAAACGAGTTATCTGTAATTATAATATAAAAAATGCGTATTTTTATTTTAGATCCATAGTTTCGATACAATAATGTTCTTATTAACTCAAAAAATTTGCCATGCATAAAATTATGTCATTCGTAAATAATACTCACTCTGATTCTGCTATTTACACACTAGAAATTAAATGGTGGCCATTTGTTATTCTAAAGATTTCGTCAATGCTATACTTTTTAATTACACGATGTAAATAGGAGAGCATGTATAATAATATATCAATACTTGCTCACAGCGATGATACATTCTACAATGTCAAGAAACCCTGTAATAAAATGATTGGAGATCGAACACAAATCTGAATATAAAATATATAAATTCCCTTCTGTCTCATATTTAATATAAATATATATAAGTTTTCTAAAAGCGCGATTCTCTCAACGAAAAATTCAGGGAATCAGGTAAGTGAGACTATGGCTGATAAAGAACTGTATTAAAACTTGTGGCACGAATTTTATTCCGAGATTTACAACAAAAATGTTTCAACTAGTTAAAATGCCGCTTAATCTTGGGATATGAAACATTGACACGTATAACATAGGTAAATACAAGACGATGTGGACAATTCAGATATACAATTCAAGTTGTTTGCATTGAACTGATAAAATTGATTCATTTTTTTTTCTAATCATTTAGTGTTGTGTTTGCGACTTGGGTAGGCCTGCTGTGCTTCTCAGAGAGGTGGATTCACTAATAAATTCATTAATTAGTTATTAAGACTCGTTGGCTGATAAATGGAACAGCCGATCCTCTCTGAGCAGCCCATGTTCATTCGCTATTATATCACTTCTATTACGATATTATAATTTAGGTACAATCTTAATTATTCAATATTAATGAGAATATTAATAATCATGTTTTATTTTGCTTGAATTAATTATAGATTGTAATCATAATTATTTTATAAAGATTCTTACACTAAGAATCATCAGACATGAAGGAATTTTGGGATTTTAACTCCTCCAGTGTTTGAATTTGTTGACGGAGGAATAATATCCTAAAATAGTAAATAAACAAACGAGGTAACAAAAGTTCAAGAGTAATTGTATTACGACGTATTTATTAAATTTGTTATAACAGAAGAGACTTACCTTTGTTCCTGTAACGTTGCCTGGATTTCTGTCAGCCTCACTATCGATCGTGCCGTTTTCAATTCTGCCGACACTCTCGTACACTGCAAACTGCCCATTGTATGTGCTTCCTCACTAAGTTTCTGTGCCTGTACATAAATATTATTTAATTTAGGAAATTTGTCTATAATAAGGTAGTAAGGATTATTATCTAGAAAAAATATCGGATTCTCACCTGTTTTTCGAGAATATCAGCGGGAAAAGCACGAACATGCTGTGTCAAATCTTCCCGATAATGATTAGCGAGAGATGGTGTTAAAGAAGGTGTTAAAGGAGGTTGCACTCGTGACAATGCTTGTAAACCTCCTGTATTACTCAAATTTCCAAGGGAGCCTAATGTACTGAGACTTTGCAAGGAGCTTAGACCTTGTACTCCGGAATTCGTTCCCCCAGGACTTGTTACTACACATATAAATGACAATATATATATAATAAAAAGAAATTTCAAAAAATAATGCAAAGATAAAAGATATTTAACAATAAAAGATAAGTTTATTTTAATATATTGTTTCAGGAATTAAAATAATTTTTCATCGATAAATTAGTTTGTTTTCTATTAGGTGCATGCAAAAGTTTTAAGTCTTTTTTTCAACACTCTGATAATTATTTTAATGGTATTTTGGTATAATTAAA